ACCTGCCTAGGGGTTTTTCCTCAATGGAGAACATGTATCCTGGGAGCCCCAGGGGTGAGGTGCCCGTCTATGATCAGGCAGCCAAATGGGTGTGTGCTGGACCACAAGGTTGCCACCTTTGCTAACCCCTCCCAGGGAGGGACACTCTCTTCTGCATGCCAGGGCTGTGTCTGCCAGCCTTCCTCCTCCCCACCCCCTTCCTACTCTGCTGACCCTGGCCCAGCCCCCCCCAAGAAGCATTGCTCCTGGCCTTGGGGACCCACAGAGAGGAATTACTTCAGAGCAACTTTCTTCCCTCTCTGAAGGTGCAAACCAGGAGGAGGAGGAGGAGGAGGAGGAAGAGCTGTGTGGCAGCTACCAGGTGGTCAAGGTGTAAAAATCAGCATTGGGAGGGCAGAGTTAGACAAACCTAGGCCCTGGGGCTGGTGGCCCCACAAGGCTGATGGAGCAGTGGGGACACACTACTAACCTGGCAGGCTCCAGGAAGAAAAGCAGTAGGGGCCAGAAGCCTTCTGAACTCCACCCAATCCCCTGCCCTGGGCAGTGGGCAGGGACTTGAGCCACGGCAGCAGCTTTAATGAGGAGATGCTGCTGCTGTGACTCAGCCCTCCAAAGGTGCCTTCGTTTATTTTATTTTTCCATCATAAAAACCCAAGTTGCAACTCAGCCAGATTCTCTGGCTGTGGGGGTGGGGCACATGGCAGAGCCCAGGAAGGCAAGGAGGGCAGGAGGACTGTCTGAAGCTGGCCCCTTGCCTTTCTTAGAGAGGAGTTACTGGGTTCTCCTGGCTTGTCCCTAGCAGGGAGCAAAAGCCTGGGGTGGGGTCCCTCTATGGACCTTCCTAGACCTGCCCTTTCTGCCTTCTGAGAAGAATAGCTATACTGGGCCTGTTACCCTTAATTCTGCTGTCTTATGACTAGTGTCCAGGTTGGCTCAAGGCCATCTATCCCAGAGCTGCATGTCTCAAATGCTTTCTGCCATAGAGAAGGTCCAAATGACGGGCTTCTCACCTTGTCCGTATGACTCTTCCCCAGGTCTGCCCCACTGAACAAAATCAAGTTGGGAGTTGGAGAGCCAAAGACCTTAAAGGTCATCTGATGCTCAAGTCAGGCCCAGCGTCACTCCCTGGTGCAAAGCCAGGTTGTCTGAATGGTACCAGGAAACTTACTACTCCAAGACAGCCCATTCTGTCCTTGGCTCTGATGCTCCTTCCTGCCAAGATGGCACCAGAGCTCCTACCCCCTGCAGCAGACTGGCAAAACCGGTGCCCAACCTGACTGCAGGGGCTGGCCCCAGCTTAGACTGGTTGAGTGGGTATATCTGGCCAAGTACAAGTGTGGATGGGAGGAAGGAAAATGGAGAGCAATCTGCCCTACCTAGCAAAGCTAGCATGAAATCCCTCCTACAGAAAGAGCACAAGACCCTTCCCAATCCCTGGTGTGTGCTGGGTTGAGAGTGTAACCAGAGCTAGCAAGGTTCCTAGAAACTTCCACTCTTGGAGAGGTCCAAAAGTTCTGTGAATCAAGAGGTGGGCTGGCACAGTAGTAGCTGGGCTGAGCTGGTAAAGCCAAGCTCCTTGCTCCCTGGGTTCAGATACCACATGGGAGGGTGGTCTACAATCTTCCTTGTCCTGCCTGCAGCCTGGGTGTCCTCAGAGCCTGTAGCTACTAGGAAATTCCACTTCAAGAACCAGGCTAACGAAGGCACCTGTCTGGGCTCTCTTGACCCCACCCTTCCTGGCCTCCCCACAGTGGAAGGCTGGGCAAATATGCAACAGGAGGGTCTGTCTATACAGCAAAGGGGTACCAGCCTGGAGCCCTAGCAGCGGAGAAATGGGCCTGCCTCAGAGAGTGACACTACTTCCTCCAACAACTGGACCATAGGGTTTTAGCCACAGTCCCCTTGTGGGTAGTGCTACCCCTCACTAGCTCCCCCTGTGCTCCATGGCCATACCTTTGAACTTGCCCTCTTGCCTACTGGGCCCTTTACCCAGCAGAGTCAACTCGGATCCTCTACTGGACAGCCCCTCTCCTTCCTCAGCTACTTTCAGGAGAGAGAGGGGTTATACTCATAACTCAGATAATCAAGGGCAAGTTCAAAGTGGTTCTTTCACAGCGGCTTTCACCCTGGCTTCCAGTTGTGTTCAGACCCAGGATTCAGCCTGGTGGGGGCCCAATCCCAGGGAGCTTCCCAAGCAGAATGGTTTACCTGTATCTGAAAGCTTCCTCCTTGCCCCTCCCCCACCCAGCTCCCTCCCCCTGGGAAATCACTCTAAAAGGGCCTAATGGAACTATGTCCTCCTCTCTTCCTCTCTCTCCTCCCCCTCCCTCTCTTTCCTTTTTTTTTTTTTTATTAGCATTTGTGGAATTTATTCCCAAACTCTCCTAATCTTCCGTACACAACCATTTGATTTGCATAACCCAACCCCCTCTCATAAAAACTGGCTGCTAGTTTAATTAAAAAATGTAAATTTGCTGTCATCTCGGGGCCTGGTGAATTAGGACGACATCGGCATTTTTTATTGCTAAAGACGTCCAGATTGATCCAGCCCTTGGCTGAACCATGGTGGGGGAATCGGGGTCCACATGGCCCCTGAAGGTCTTGAGGTCCTGGTGTCCCTTCCTGAGAAGCCTGGATTCTCCTGTCACTGAATTACTTATGGTCAGAGTGCTTCAGGCTGGATGTGTCCTGGGCCACAGGGGATGTTAACCCATGAACCAATGCTTGTGCCGGCAACTCTTGGGGCCCGTGTCTCCAGCCTTGTACTGTGTGTGCCAGGAGGCCCTCCGCTGAAGCTGTCCATGCTGCCCTCAGAGGAAGAGAGCCCTGCACTGCACCAGCAATGAGCCTTGGCCAGAGATGAGGCAGTGTCCCCTGTGAGTCCCAGAGGTCAAAGGTCAAGGGGGATGCTCTTAGGTCCGGAAGCACGGAGTTGGCCCAGATATAGACTCAGAAGGGACAGACCTCAAAGTCCCTATCTGCTTCCCCTTTTTTTGTGAAGTGAGGAAAAAGTGTTTTTCTTCTGAAGTTCTGAGATTAAGTGAAACTTCCAAGTTCAGAGAAGAGGCTGAGATGATATCGTCAGATGACTCCTCCAGGAAACAGCCAGAACTTTGACACCCTGGACTCTGCATGGCCAGAGTCCAGCCTGGGTCCCATTGGGAGTGCCCTGCTCTAGCTGACCTCCAGGGCACTCTGGCTTCTAGGAAAAGTTTCCAGAGCCTGTCCCTGGATTGCTGGGAGAAGTAAGTCTCCCCAGGGCTCTGGGAGGTGCCCCAGGAGGCTCTGTCACTTGTCTCCTGCCAGGCCATCAGGACACCCACATAAGTTCTGTGGAGTGGTGCCCCCACAGCAGCCTTGGTGGGACTGGCATGGTAGGAGGACTAGCGCCAGCTCCACTTGGCACCCAAGTTAGAAGGAGGAAGACAGGAGAACCTGTCTCCCAATTGAGTAATGCCCACCCACTGCAGAGGCTCACCTGGGCCAGGTAGGGGCCACTGCAGAAACACCTGGCCCAACTCTGAAGTCTGCCCCTTTGGCTTGGATGGCTGGGGGTCCCATTTGCGAAGAAGGGGGTGGGGCCTGAGAGGGAGGTGATGAGACACCTGATTAGAGGTAGGAGTGAGCAGGTTCTCTGTGGGCGTGGAAGGCAGGGAGGGGCAGGGTGGCAGCTGGCCTCAGACACCTTCACAATTTTTCCCAGCAGGGGGCATCACACCCTTCCTGGGCACAGAAGTCCTGAGGACCTCCACAGCCCATTAGCCAAGATCACACCTGTTGGGACACAGTCTAGATATTCTGTGAAGGGCCCTCCACCCACCTCACACAGCTCCAAAGCCCACCACCATGTCACCTGCCCTGATCCCTTCCACCAGTGCTATCTATTCCAGTTGACCTCAGAGTTCGTTTGAATGTCAGCTCTTGGGTGCCAAGTGACCATGTCATGGACTTGGGCCTATCACAAACAAAAAGTCTGACACTAACTCTGATACCACCTTTCCTTCCATAAATGAAACAGAAAGGCTCAGTGGGTTATCAGCCTGTTTGTTTCTTTTAAGACACTTTGGAGGAAGAGAGTTGCATTTGACCCCCTAGGATGTGAAGGTCCGAAGGAAGCCTTAGGCGATTAGCGCAGCCCTCACCCACTCAGGTAGGAATCCCACAAGGGACAAGAACTATTAGATCACAACCACTAAGACACTGAATTCTCAAGACAAACTCTGCCTAGGTCAGTGGTTCACTACCTGGAGCCAAACCCAAGTTCCAGACCCAGGTGCCTAAGTCTGGTGCTTGGTCATCACCCACTTCAGGGTGCCAGCTAAAAGGGGGCTGGGAGAGTCCTGGGCCCCTCACTTTGAACTGATAACAGCCGCCTCAGCCCACAGATTCTCAGGTGAAAAACACTCATTAGCCATAATAAGCAGCTTGATCATCCGACACAGCCTTGTCCCAAATAAATTAAATTCCTTTACCTTGAGACAGTCGCCCCGAAACCAGACTAACCACCTTTCCCAACAGGACGCTGCTTTCAAAAACTCAACCACCCCCCACTAAAAAAATAAAAACACACACCCCATTGCCAGACACACAGAGATCTTTGCGGAGGGGAGTAAACTACTTTTAACACACACAGGAAAACAAAACAAAACAAAACAAAAATACGGAGGCATACCAAAAAGAAAGGGGAAAAAAAAAACACGGAGATCAAAAACCCCCACAAAAAACCCCTAAATCCTCTTTCTGGGTGCCCCCCAGCTCCCCGTCCTCTCGGTTCTTTCATAATGACAAGCATCAAATTAGTCACAGTCACTAGGCAAGTAACAAATAATGACAACACTATGGCCCTCCAGAAAGCAGGGCGCAGGGGCGGCGGCCCGGACCCTCGGCGCCGGCCCGCACCCGGGCCCAGCTGCTAGCTGATTGGGCTAAAAATAATAACTTCCGTAAAAGAACCGAAAGAAAAGCGAAAGAGCCTCCCGTGGGCTCCCACCGGCCGGTACCTGTTCCAAGATCCATTCTCCGCTCCTTGGTCCCAAACTCTGCGAGGAACGTCGCGGGCAGCAGAGGGGAGAGAGAAGACTCGGTTAGTGCCTGCGCGGCCCCCGCCCGCCCGCCCGCCGCGCTCCCTCCCGGCCGGCGCGGCGCATCCCGGGCCGGGGGCGCGGGCCGGGCCCTGCGGGCCGGGCGGCCAAACTTTCCTCCGCGCCCGTCCCGCTCGCTCTCACGCTCCGGCCGCGCGCGCCCGGCAGCTCCGAGTTCACCAACTCGAGCGGAGCCGCCGGCGGCCGCGGCCTGGCGGGGGAGGCCCGCGAGGCCCAGGGGCGCCCGCCGCGCCCCAGCCCGGCCCGCCGCCCCGCGGGGGTCGCCGCCGAGCGCCCGGCCCGGCCCTCCCCCGGCCCGCTCCCGGTACTCACCATAGTCGGAGAGTCGAAAGCCGAATTCACTTAAATAATCAACTTTCATAATACTTAATTAATGCCTAATTGCAACTGATTACTCCCCGAATAACAAGTTGTTTTAAAACCCTGATGTCATTGCTCCTGACGGTAACACTCAGGGTAACAGTTTGGCAGGAGGGAGCGCGCGGGCGGGAGCGGCCGGGCGCTGCCAGGCGCCGAGGTGATTGGCAGGGCGGCCGCGGCGCCGCCTCCTCGCCGGGCCCGCGCGGCTCCGGCAGGTGAAAGATCAGCGCTCCGCCCGCCCGCCCGCCTCGCGGAGGTGCTGAAGTGAATGGGCTCGCGCTCGCCCGCGCCGCGCGCTCGCCCCCGTGCGCGCCTCTCGCGCACCGACTCTGGCGGGCGGGCGGGCGGCCTTACTGGCTCAGTGATTCCCCAAACCTTTGACTTCGGGAGGAGGGAGGCGGGGACTCTGCGCTCGGTGCCGCGCGGGCGGGGGAGGTGTTGGGGGGGGGGGCTGTCGCGCGGCCGGAGCGAGGCGCTGGCACGGCGCGCGCGCTCGAACGCTCCCCTCCGCCGCTCCGGCCCCGCGAACGCGATCCGACGGCCGCCGCGCCCGCGCGCGCGCGCCCGCCCCTCGCGCCACCGCCACGCGCGGCCGTGCAAACTTTTCCGCGCGGGCGGGCGCAGGTGCGAGGCGCCGCGGGACCGCGCCCGCCGGGACGCGCGCTTTCGCGCTCCCCTTGGCGCTGCCCGGTGGCCCCGGGCTTCTGAGGTATCAAAGACATTTGGTACCCCGATTCCCTCATTTTGTTGTGGTTCTTTGAGTTCGCGGGAAAAAAGAGTCCGGGGCGGTGGGGCTGTGAGTGTCGGGAAACTCGCGCGTCGGCCTCGCGGGCCCCCCGCACCCGCGCTCCCGGGAGCGCCCGCCCGCCCGGGACACACTGGGGTTTCCGCCGCTTCGCTTTGCTTTTGCCCTTGAAATGGGTCCCGGCGCCCTCCCTGCGACGCAGGTCCCTGGTCTCCGGGCCTTTCTTTTTCTTCCTCCTACCTCCAGTTGGGCCACAGGCCCAAGGCCCGACGAGAATGGGTCTGGTGCCCCCTGACTTCCCCTGGGCCAGCCCTCGGGCAGTCTTTTCTCCGGACGCGCCTCCACTCATCTGCCATCACTTGGGCTGGTTCCCCAACGCGTCCCCCTTGCATTCCCAGACAGAGCACAGGCACCCCTCAACCAAAGTGCCAGGGTCCTGCCACCTGTTTCCTCTGTGCCCTGGGAGTCAATTCCACTTTGACACTGGACTTCATTCCAGACTTCATTTCTGGCGGAACTGGGCACTAACTTCTATCCTTACTCTCCTTTTTCTCCCATAGAGTTTGGTGAGTGTCTCAGCACACCCCCCATCCCCCTCCCCAGGTCCCTGCTGCAGCCATGTATGTTAATAAGCCAAGTTACCTATGGGGCCAGGAGGGCAATTTTGTTAATTCAGGACCTGCTCCCACTGTCCGCAGCTCTCTGCCTCTTGCAAGCCAGGCCTTCTCTCTCCCTACTTCCCTTCTTTCCTATTTTCCAGAGGGGCCACACTCCCTTTCCGTGAAGGGAGGGAAACAGGCCCTTCTCACTCTCTCTCTCTCTGGTCTCAGGTGGCATTCAGCAAAATGGCGCTGGCATATTTCTGCAATATTTATATTTTGCAAAGAGGAGGCCTTGGGGCAAAGATGTCAATCTACTCTTTCTCCTACTTTCCCCTTATTTTTCTTCTTTTTTCCTAATTATTCTTTGGTTCTAAATGGCCTCACAAGAGTGTATCATCTTGAATTTATTCCACAGCCCTCTCTGATGACTTCTTTGGCAAACCCCATTTCTAGCTGTCACACAAACCTCCCCCTATCCCCAACACTATATGCAGATAGTATCTGGAGAGGCTCAAAGTCTTTACTGAGAGTCCCCTAGACCTAAAACCCTGAGTAGGGGACAGAACTCCTAAACCCAATCAAGCCCCGTGCTACGCAAAGCCAGGCCTGAGAATCAACTGGAGGCCCAGGGAAACCAGTGAGGGAGGACCACGTGCTCTGCTCCCCATGGGGGTTTCAGAGAAGGCATCCTTGTGTCCAGGAATGCTCTGGGGCACACACCTACCTCTGGGTGCTGCCACCTAGGGCACCCCAAAGCAAGGATTCTGCCCTCTTGCAGGTTTGGCTTATAACAATAGGCCATTGATCCCAGTCCTAGGGTGGGCAACTGAGTATAGGGAAAGTCTGGTGACAGTGGAAGGTCATTTGAAGATGTCTGCTCAGACCAGGAGCTCCTTGCATAGGGAACCTGTGTGCCTTTGGCTGGCTTTGAATGTCCTTCTGGGCTTTGGCCGATGGTCAGGAGTGACCCCTGAGGAGTGCCTGGGTGGATAGGAAAGTATCTGTCTTTCCAGTTACCAAGGCAGTGCCTACTGGGTTGGCCATCACGTAACTTTGTGTCCTCTGGTGGGCTAAGACTGGCAGGGAATGGCTCATAGGGCAAACTACGAGGGCTGGGAGGAGGTGGCGCAGGCAGGGCCAGATAGAGGGGCTGCCATGTGCCGCCTATGGTGGGGGGAGACCTGGGCCGCTGGAGAGCGTCTGATCTGCTGAGACAATGGCCCTAGTCAGTCACCGCAGGCGGAGAGGGCCATTCCCAAAAGCAAGGGCCTTTGGTAGAAGAGAACAGATCAGAGAAGCAAGAAACTGAGGCCAACTTGGCGTTTTAGCATCTGAGGTTGGAGAAGAAGTGGGGGCACTGCATGCACGGGTCAGAGGCTGTGCACGGGTCAGAGGCCGTGTAATGAAGAGGTCCCCAGATTTCTCCCTCTGTCTGTCTCTGGGTGTGTGTGCTCAAAGCAAGGGGAGAGGCATCTCTTGAGACTATGGCCTACTTCTGCCTTGATGACCCTGACATGGTTACACCTCTGAGACCCTGAGACCAGGCCACAGTAAGGACATTCATGCCTGGAGTCAACACCTAATGCCTCAGTTCTTTCTGGTCCCAGAACCTGGGCCCAAAACCTCCAGCTCTTCCTCCAGATACCCCACCCTAAGAGAAAAAGTGAAGTGGAAACCTTTACAGCAGTCCTCCCACCCAGCGGCTCTGCCAGGACCCAGGAAAGCCACCTGCTCTCCCCAGACAAGCTGCCCGGCTGGCTCCTGTCCTCCCGCACCCCCAGTGTGCCCACTCGTTCTCTCCCTCCCGAGCCTGGGGCCTTCTCACTCACCGACCTGTTTACACACCAGGTATCTCATGCTTTATCTGCTCTCATTTTGAATTTGTAACTTTCACATAAACTTGAACAAAGCTCCTTTTGTTCCTGCACCCCACCCTAGGATCCCAATAAACTGGTTCCCTCTGAGGCGACTGGGCCAGGGCACAAAAGCCCCGGCCAAAGGACCGCGTGTGCATGTGAACCAGCATGTTCGCACCTGCGAGGGAGTCTGTGTGTTTGCGTGTGAGCGCACTCCCCAGGCTCATAGAGGGAGGGTGTTGGGAGAGTGGGGAGCCAGCAGAATGTGGATGGGAAGTGTGGGGAGCTGGGGGGAAAGAGGTGCCACGGCTTGGGCCACGGCCCGGGCTCATCAGCCAGCAGAGCCCATGCCTGGGCACGGACAGGTGGGTGTCAGGCGGGGGGGGCAAATGTGGATGAAAAGGAAACAAAGGGGAGGAAAGAGCCACAGAGTGGGTGGCAGAGTGAAGGGCCGAGGCCACGCTAAGCGTAAGGCAGACACAGGGATCGCATTATGGTAGGGTAGGGGCTGGCATAGCCGCACGCTCGGCCCTGTAATCCTGTTAGCCAGCAATCTCCATTCCGAAAGAGCTTCATTTCTTTGTGAATATTTGTAAACTAGATATCTAATGGAAAATTATAGGAAAATTATAGTGAAATTCATGACGGAGAAATCCGATTATCCCTAATTCAATTATGCCATCTTAGCCCACACAGCACATTTCCCATTTTTTTCCCATAAATACCGATGCCAGGGGTCCCGGTAATCAAATAAAATTGAAAATCATCTTCCCATTAAATTCAATTAGCCGCAATTTCTAAAGCCTATCAGAGATTTTAATTACTAAATTATAAAATTCTCCAATGCTAAATTGAAACCAAAAAAATTGCACATCCTTATATTTCAGAGAAAAAAAAAGGGGGCCAGAAAAATCCTTGAAAAATGTCCTCCTCTCTGTGTCCAGCTCCAAAGCAGTATCCTCACCTAGAGGACCTCACAATGGCTGCCCTTTGCCTGGCTGGGGAGGGCCCTGCTGGGGCGAATCACACCCCCAGTCCCAGGCAGCTCAGCACAACACGGTGGTGGCCTTCCTCACTCTGGCTGTTCTGGCTCCTGAGATCTCAGCTCTGTCCCCCTTCAAGAGGTCTCTAACTCTCAGTGGCATCTTTTTGGCCAGAAGCTGGGCTTGGGCTCAGGCCACAGCTTGACACCAGGGATCTACGTGGTTCCAGGACAGCTGATCAGAGGCAGCTGGCTTCTCACCCGAGCCCCTGCTCTCTGGCCACTGTGCCATGCCCCCTGGCAGCCTAGGCCGTGTGGGAAATGGAAACAGGACAAAGCCTGGTTCTGAAGGAGGACAGACACCACAGGGTGGTTCTGTGGGCCAGAGTCTTCTCCTGGGCATTCCCGAGGGGCCACTGATCCTGGGAGAGTACCAGCCTCCTGGTACAAGGGTGGGATCAACTTGGCCCAAATCTGGCCACTCCCTGCACTTCTAACTCATTCTATTCTCCTGACCCTCTCCTGGGAAGTCAGTAGACTTGAACTGGCCAGAGGGCATGCCCTTTCCCCATGGGACAGGCTCAGTCTGACCACCCCCCTTTAAGGGAAGTACTGGACACAACCCCAAGCAGTAGCCCCTCCCCCACATACCACTTACCCACCTCTAAAGGGTGCTCTTCTAGTCAGGAGAGCCTGGGGGCGTGGCAACGGTGGTGGCATAAAGGGACCTGGGGTCTAAAACCCAAGGTAGGTGGCTGAGTGGGCAGCCAATGGCCCCGGCAGGCTCAGGGCAGTCAGCGGCAGACCTGCCGGCAGCCCAGCACCCGGGAGCAGGGAGCAGGCTTGATTTGCCAGGCAGTCAGCGGTGCCAGCAGGGGAGGCACCGCAAACAAAACAAAAACAAAAAAGTTAATTATCTT